TTTCCAGACAAAATGAAAAAGAAAAAAATCCGGGACACTGCAAACACATATCTGAAAGAGGTGTGTAGAGAACAGAAAAAAATATGCAACAGCAAAAGATTCCTGAAAAGCACATTAATACACATAAGACATCAAAGCAAAGGTTTTGGGGGGTTTTTTGGACTGATTTTTGGTTTGTTTTTTTGTTGTTGTTTTTTTTACCAGATAAAGATGTGAAAGAAATTTGAAATCCAGGATTTGCAGAAAGCTGCCAAATTCTAAGCATATACAGAAAGTCCAGCATTAAAAATAAACCAAGAGTCCCTTTGGATCGTTTAACACAGGACAGGGTTTGCTCTTTGGTGATCCAGTAGCAATCACATCATTTAACTTCATAGTTAATATAAAAATAACTCGCTTACTGTGAACTTATGTGCTAAATATGAGTGAAATGCTTTGCATCAATTAGCAGGTGTCTTCAGTATTTTAATTGTTCTGTTTTTATGTTATGAGCTGTCACCTGCGTGAATTACAGACACTCAGGTTGCTCTAAAGTGCAGTCTCTGGGTTAACAGGACACTACTTCACACCAACAAACACTTAACCCTCCATTTAAGACAAAAGCTTCTCCCCTGTTCCTCATCATAAGATAAACCAGGTGGACACCGGTTTGCTGATAAGGAATCGACCTCTTAAAATGAAACAGCTGGTTTGTTGAAACAATAAAAAAATGTACTGGAAAAATAGGACAATAAACTAAAAAAAAAAAACTAAAGGAATAAGCTAAAAAGATTATTAAAGGAATGTCTATTTATTATAAGAAATAATACTCTATCTGGTGGATATACTGTCCTTTTGTCCTCTTTTTGAGGTTTTCCATTCTAATCTCTATCAGCTCCCTTTCAGGAAGATTTGCCTTCTTTAGCAACAATAACACCCCTGGATACCAGAAAACACAGAGCAGCACCGACAGATGCTTATGAAAGCCAGCAACATGCTGAATCCACCGATGACAAACCCAGCTGCATTGCTCTTAAAGATGTCACTCTGTTTATTTTTGGATTTACTGCATTTATCTCTTTCTTGGAAGCATGGCTAAAAATTTTGCATAGCAATTTGTGTTTTCTTTAGGTGAATTATATTTAAAGCTAATTTATTCCGGCCTATAATAATCTACCCTTAATCTTTCACATCCACATTATCCTGAAGGACCTTCCTGTTAGCTGATCCAGAGATTAGCAGTTTGGCATTGTAGAAGTTGAGAAATGTTTTTTAAGTATTACTAACCTCACAGCCACCAAGAGGGTAAATTATTTCTTTCTCATTTTACATGATTTTAAAGGAGTTTTTAAACAACTGTAACTTTTGATTGTTAGAAAACATTTTATTTATATGTCTGTATTTTTTTCTGTTTATTGATAAAAATATTGATATTAATATATACCTTTAATTCTTCGCTTACACCATAAATAAAGTTTTCAAAACTACACACTTGCAGAACCCTTCAAATTTGTGTAGTTTTTCAAAAAGAAATGTAATAAAAAAAAAAAATTAAAAAGGGAGAACTACGGAAGAGGAATAAGGCCACAGAAAAAAAAGTTAACTGATTTTTACATTTTATTTCAGTATGAGAAAAAAGTTAGAATTCTGACTTATATCTCAGAATTCTGACCTTTTTCTCAGAATTCTGACTTAAATCTCAGAATTCTGACTTTAATCTCGGACTTAAAGTCCGAATTCGGAGATTAAAGTAAGGATTCTGACTTTTTTTCCCATATTAAACTGAAATAAAATCTAAAAGTCAGTTAACTTTTTTTTCTTTTTTCAGTGGCCCAAATCCTCTTCCGTAGAGAACTAAGATTTCACAACATTATAAATTTGTAAACTCTAATTTTAGTAAATGAAAAAAAGACATCACCTCAAATGCTAAGAGCGCTATGACCTCCAGGGGGCGCCACAAAACAGGGGAATATTTTCTCTTCAATACAATTATATCAAAACTTAAAACCAAACAAAAATCACTCCATATATTAACCCCCTAAATAAACAGCTAACAAATATTTAATAATCAATAAATTTCCAGTAAATATTCTTACTGGGGGGTATCATATGATGATGTCATAGTTGACTCTGCTTGCAGAAAAATCTAGGAAAGTGCAGCTAAAGAAAATAAGATGAGCTGATGTACTAACAAAAATCACCACCTGATGTCTGTAAAGCGCCTTTTCTGTACGTTGCTATGCTTAAGGTATTTTAAATGGCTTATATACAATTTCTTTTTGTAAAAATAACTTGTAGTATAAATATAGATTATGAGATAATGTATGAAACTTTATAGGTCATTTAGTTCTAATCTGGATTTTTGTACTCATATCCTGTTACTAGAACAATTGATTCAGTTATTTGCAAGATATTTTTATGGCAAAAATGTCTTTATTTTTTCTGGACCCACACATAAATACTGTAAAACAAACATAGCTTAAGCTTTTTTTTCTTTTTTTTAATACTCTACAAAGAATGTTTAAACTGCAGCCTGGCCTCCTCTGCAGTTGTGATTGACATGTTAGGTATATTATTTACTAATGACTGTTGTACACAAATAAGAAATTCTGCAAAACTTAATCAGTAGTTTTGAGGGACCGTGTTCAAAATAACATCAGTTGTGAATTCAGTAGGTTTTGTCCTTTATTATATGAAAACATGGAGACCCTTTCTCAAACTGTCAAACTGGATACGTTTAACTCAAATGATGGGAGGAAACTCAGTGCTTTACACCATTTGGGTTTCTCACCTCCAACTATTAAGTCAAATAAAAAAAATCGGTTAAGAACTTCTACTTTTATATCTTTTCTAAGGAAGCATTAGTATTAACATTTTATTTTTATTTTTTTTGTATAAACTGAAAAGTCTCCTTCATTGACACTAATTTTTATGCATATTATACATTAGAGATACTCATTAGTACGGAGCCTCTTTGAGGTAAGTGGAATTTTAACTTTCCTATAAGCATTCAAATCAAAGCTATTTCATTATTCAAGCCTTTAAATAATAATCTTTGACATTCAGGTGGCTGTGTGTTTCCTGGACTGGGCCGCCTTTTACAGCTGCTTTTTGCATCTCTGCTTCGTTTTCTATGTCAGCTTCTGTCTCCTTGAACCCCAGTCGGCCTCGGCAGATGGCCGCTCACACTGAGCCTGGTTCTGCTGGAAGTTTCTTCCTGTAAAAAGGAGTTTTTTCCTCTCCACTGTCACTACAAGCATGCTTAGTGTGAAGGATTGCCTTCAAGTCAATGAGTTGATGCAATCAACTGGTTTTCTTAGATAGAAAACTTTGAATCAATTTGACTGTATGATCTGGTGAACTGTAAAGTGCCTTGAGATAACATGTGTTGTAAATTCACGCTGTATAAATAAACTGAATTGAATTCAACTAACCGTAACGTAGCAACATTTAACAGCCCTCATTTAATCTAAGGGCAACTTCCCTCCTGGTGTTGCAGCATTAGCCACACCTACTGTCAACTAATCAGCCAAAAGGGGTCTTATAGCACAATTACTTTGTGATTTTTTTCTAATTAAGTTATGCTTAATTCATATATATTAATAATTCATACTAACCCTAGGGTTGAGTTAAATGTACTCAAAAACAAGAACATGTTATACTACCTCCACCCATTTGAGTTAGAAGAGTTTTTAATACGTTTTAAGTACTCGTTCAATGAATTACTTTAACAGTTAACAGTTGGGTTCATAGTGAGTGAAGGTGGCTGCACAACATCTGCATGCTCATAAGTAACATGGGTTACTCCAGACATGGATTATAAGAGCTGCGTACCTTTAAATAAAAACATGGGAAATATATAGAAATGGGTTAATGATCAGTTTGACACAGCAGCAAGATTTTGAGCTGGGATATATCTTATAAAAGAAAGACAAAGGTTTTAAATTACTTGCAAACCCCCAAAAAAGAACAATTTCTGAAACGGACTGACCTTAAGGAAAATTGAGCATAATTGCTCATAAGTGACGAAAGCACAGTTGTTTTGGTGTCTAAGGGTGACTGTTTTTTTTTATAAGAGAAACAATCACTGAATTCAAAAAAGCTTCACAGTGCAAAGGCTCAAGCATCAATAATATAGGAAAGTGTCTTGTGCCATAATGTGGAATAAATCTATTAGATATCAGGGATCATGCACCATTTTGAACATATTAAAACACCAGCAGGTGATTAGCATCTTGGTTTCAGGGTTGATATCATTGAGTGGCAGCTTAATCCTTAAGCCTTAATCTGATAAAACATGCAGCTTCTGAACCAAAACCATGAAAGAGAGAGGGATTATATTGAAATAATTCTGGGCTGGAATAACTGTTTCCAGATGCTAATAGAGCAAAGCAACACAGATGTGAAAAATCAGAAATGGGTTATACTAGGTGAATAACCTGATTCTGAATTTAAAATAGTCACTCAGTGGTTCCTAAGACATATATGAACAGGTGGTTTTCAATTAATGTAGTAAATATTTTAGTTAAAATCACTGACAATGCTGGTTTACCTTAATATTCTTTATAATATTCTCTGTGCGGATAAAAAGTATTGACTTTTGTTTATATTTTGGTTTTGAATGTAAAGCAGAAATTTCAATACAATTCCTAAAAACTGATGGCTTTTTTTGCCCCAGAGATCTGACTACTTATTCTGACACCTGACGATGTCTTAAATAGAAACTGTACATTTTAAGGAAAAATAAAATCTTGAACACTTCTAAGAAGAAAATACACTTTGCACAATATCTAAACTTTTGACCTTCAGTCTTCTCCTTTAGTAAAGAACTCTGTGCAATGACGATTATCTACTGCAGCTGTTCTGATCATCCCACTGTCTCCATTAATGTAAACTCATGGAAGGTCCCTATGGCTTCCTGCTTTTGCCTCTGTGCAGAAGGCCTACCGTCCTCCACTGCAGCTCTTCCTTCTTTGCTGGCACCCACCAGCAATAACTTTGCACTTTGCCAAATATAAACTAAGTTTCTTGGCCGAGTGTCAGAGGGAAATGGGGAGGAGTCGGACACGGTCGGTTCAGCTCAGGGCAGACTGAAGGACAAACAAGCAGAAAGGAGCATTTGCCAAATGTTAAGCGGTTAGTAAAACTACAGAAGAGAAGACTACTTGAAAAAGTGAGTATATACCAGATTAAATGTTTCTTTTATTTACTTTTACTTCTTTTAGGCCAGCTTTTTGCTGCAGGGGGGTGAAATAAAACCAGTAGTGCTTAAATCAGAGACAAGGTTTGTTTAGTTGGACTACCTGTTGATTTCTGGCTTCTTTTATATTCAGTCATGAGTCTGGCTTTTCTTGAGTTACACAAAACTTGTCAAAGAGTGGTGGAATATCTTTATTTACTCAGGTTTTATTTCACACTACATCAACCTTTTTTAAATATATTGAATTTTTCTCACTGCAGATGTCGTTGTCTCCCGCTGTATTTGCTGCCCGCCGGGTGCTTGCTGCTGCGTCACACGCAAGCCATGAGGGAGGAGGTGAGTGTCTTTAATGACCTTTTATACCAAAAACAAAACATATTCATGTTTCAAAGCCTTCCTGAATAAACTCTGCGTATAAACGCCACAAACAGGCATAGTTTGGTTGAACATTAACCGAAAGGGCTGCAGAACTGGCACCCAGCCTGCAACACTGAATAACAGTCATCTCTGGGGAGCAAAGAAATAGGCTATATGATACTTTTTTCTTTTTTACAGCAAGAACCTGGAAGATCCTGACAATCGTTCTTGCCATCCCAGGCGTTGGTGTCTGTATGGCCAATGCCTACATGAAGGCACAGGCCCATTCCCATGACCACCCTGAGTTTGTGCCATATTCACACCTGCGTATCCGCACCAAGGTGAGTCTCTATGCAGCTTTTGCATTCAGATTTCATATTAAAACAAGGTTAACAACTACGTTTTGATGTGTATACCTCCAGAGATTCCCCTGGGGTGACGGAAACCATACTTTGTTCCACAACCCTCACACCAACGCTCTTCCCGACGGCTACGAGGGCTCTGATCACTGAGACGATTGCTCTTCATTTCACCTGCATGCCTCAAACTACAGTACAGCCTGCTTTAAATATGCCAACCAAAGGGATACCTGGACTCCCATCAGCAAAAGCAGCAGTAATAAAACATCTTCATGCTAGATTTAAATGGGAGCAGTTTCTTTTTTTTCCTCGCCACATATTCATAATGAACTATACTTTTACATAGAAGAGTAAAAAGCAAAACCTTTTTGCATTCCTTCAAGTTCTTTTTGTACAAAACCACAAATTTATTTCCCAGTTGCAAGTATTTTCTGGGTAACAATCTCTTAAAGCATTTTACACTACATCTGAGCATTCACACGCTGATGGTGGTAAGATGTTCTATTGCTCTTACCTGCTGTGTTCATGACTGGAGGTGTTTGAAGCCTCTAACCAGAATCCTGTTGGTTAAAGGATGAACCCTTACCCTCTGTTGTTAACTGATATTATGGATAAAAAAAACAAACAACAACAACAAAGCTATGGAGCTAAATTGGGGCCATAGAGTTTGTAAAAGAACTTATCTGAAAAGGGAAAATAAACAGAATTAAAAATGGAACCTGACAAAGTATTTTGAAGCTGAAAAAGGATTAAAAAAGTAACATATTTTTGAAAATGGAAAAAAAAACATTTTGAAAACAAAAAACTGATACAAAAAAATAAATATTTAAAACCATTTTCAATTTGTTTTTTTTTGTTTTTACTGCTGGCTCCTCCGTGTGGGGACGAGACTTAAATGGCCAATTCTTTATGCTTTTATAGCAATTTATCTAGTCCCAAAATCCTAAAGAACTTTTATCTGCATTTAGTCTCTCAAACATACATTCAGAGTTAGCTACACTGTTGCCAACGCTCCCCTGGGGTTCAATGAAGGAAGCAAAGCTGGCCCTCTAACCACCATCAGTGGGCAAAGTGGGTGAAGTATCTTTGCCAAAGACACAACGACGGAGATCACAGACCCTGCGGCTGATGGATGCACTCCTTTAGCCGCACGCTACAGTTGATGGCTTAGATGACACAGGGTGCAGAGTGATGACCAACAGCTTTGATCCCTGGACAAAAATCATCACAGCTGTTGCATTTAGAAACTATGGGAATTAGAAAGGTCTTTAAGATATGTGTATTCCATGTTTAGGTGATTGTATTTAAAAAATGACATGCTTCATTGATCTAAGCTGTTTATGTCCCCCTACAGCATAAATTTCACTGAATTATTAATTATACTGACAGATTGCACAGCATTTTTAATCCATGTCAGACATTTTCCGAAAGTAAAGTAAAAAAGTTGTTTCAGTTGTTCCCACAATATCATAAGCTTCGATCAGTGAGGCATATTGGCCAGTGCCGATAGGGCACACAAAGAAGACAGCCATTTGTGACCCAGTGATACAGTCTCTGCTCCAGGACTGTTTCCAGTGCACAGATAGATAGGCAGGTCTTTAGAGTGACATCTACGCATCAGTGTTAGATGGATGGTAATGTATTACCCAAAACAGAAACACAGGTTTAATGCAGAGGTAAAAGCTCTGGTGAAAGCTAGGGATGCTCTGCTCAGGACAAGCAAGGCATTAGCACTCAGGTGAGGAAAGCTCTAACTGCAGGCACTGTAAGTGCCAAAAACCACATGCATCCAGGAAAACTGAGGGTGTCTTTACCACCAAAGGCCAAATTTATACTGTCCAATTTTCAAAAAAAAAAAAAATTAAAATGTGAGCTTTTATTGAATATATATCTATATATATAGATATATATCTATATCTATCTATCTATATATATAGATATAGATAGATAGATATATATAGATAGATATAGATATATATAGATATTTCATCAGCCAGAAGGAATAAGATTCTTTTTGTTAACCAAAACAGACATTTCCGGTTTAAACCTGAAAATAAAATATTTGATTAAATTTAATTTTCTTTAGGAAGAAATAATTTTTTGAGGTTTAATTTTTTTCCACACAACTGATTTCCTTTATAAAACCTGATTCTTTAGTTAACTTATGTCACAACCACATTCTGAAACCTCCCTGTTTGAAACAAAGATTTTTTCAGCAATTTGTTTTAAAGTTCATGATATTAAATGGAAAGACTGTCAAATTTAAAGCATTAAAAATACCCTATATGTGAGACGAAAAAAAAACAAGTATTGAAATCAGTGATTTAAGTGCTTTTATGTGGGACAGCCAAAATATGTTTGCCATAATTCTTCCATTCAGTATAATTTTATGCACAAAATAAACCTCAAAGTAATGTATTCTGGTGATGAAAAAAAAAGCAAATATGACAGAAAATAATCATGTTTTAACAAAAAATTGCCAATGTTCATTTTGTCATCGTTTGATTGGATCAAAATAAAAAAAATAAAAAAAATTAAAATAAAGTTTGCTTTAGAAAAACCAAAAATAATGCAACAGTTCTTTTGACTGATTTTTCTTTTACCGGTTTCAGTGAATGTAAGATAACAGTCACAATTCATCTTTTCTCAGACTAAGGCTGCGGAGACCAGGCAAAGCAGATCCTGTTTTAGAGTCTCTGTACAGTCTGCCTCTCTGGCTAGTCTGCGAAAGCAATCTGCAGCAACGGAGCAGAATACAAATGGACGAGGACAGTCCTGGAAACCCAGCAGCAGGGCGAGGCAGGTCCGACCCAGAGTGGGATAGCTGTACCGCTGGGAAAACCAGTACAGCTGGGGAAGCAAAGCAGAAAGGGCAGCTTCTGAGGAAGAACAGGAGTCCTGATTGGCAAACTTCAGCCTGTTCTTTGGTCCTAGCAGCTTCCCTTCAGGAGAAACTGATTGGTCCTCTGATGCACTGACTGTTTTGGAGACTGTTCTGTCTAGTCCTGTGATGCCCTTCTGGATGGATCCAGTTGAAGACATTTCCTTTCCTTCTAATTGTTGAAGGAAACCGTTCAGTTTTTTACCGCCTGCAGTCAGCTCTAGTTCAGATGTTAGATCAGCCAGGTTATCCTCTGCAGGGTCAGAGCTTTTTTGGTCTCTTTCAGTCTTTTTAGCATTGTCTTTTTTATCACCCTGCTTGGCTTGACCAGCGTTGGACCAGGACAGGAGAAATGACACAAAAATATCCTCCAACTCACTCTTGAGATCTTTAACCAAAAATCTGCATGCCCCAATCATCAATTCACATAACGGTGTTGTCTGAAAGCCTTCTGTTGATGGCTCTCCTGTTTCATTTTGGAAGACACCCACAACCACTGAATCTAAAGTCTGACAGTGCCGTCTGGCTTGTTTGTCACTCCTTTCATTGTCTGAGTCTGAACTGAAGCGACATCCATGGAGGTAATGCAGTAGCGGCAGCAACATACCTGCGCTGACATCCTTAATACGAATAGCTTCTTCTGCCTCAGCTTCGCCAAAACCACCTCTTAATAAAGCCCTGAAGTATTCAGATCCAGCTTCGTCTGCGTCTTCCACTCCGGCCACAGCCTCCTTGCTGGCTGGAATTCGGGTCCCATCATCAAGCAGCAAGACCAGGTCAAACTCTGAACTCCCATACGGACACGAGTCTGCGAGGCGAGGCTTTTTCAGTGGAGGGGCTGAATCTCTTTCAACATCACCGGCTGGAGTTGGGTTTGTGTTTTTTTCTCCTAGTTTGGTTCTAACGGCACCCGTCAGAGCAGACAGGCATGTGAGCAAGAGGGAAAAATAGAGAGAGGTCACATCTGAATGGGGTGATTTAAACAATTCAGACAGCAGCCTTCCATGGTGCTCTTCATCCTCATCGTCAAATTCACAGTCAAGATGTCGCAGTGCAGCGAACAGACCTCCACAATCCAGGAGAAGCTTCCTTAACAAAGATTTGTTGCTGTTGGACAAAGAGAAACCTCAGATTATAGACATAATATAGGGACTTTTCTCTAAAAAGAGATTCTAATTTTCTTTTGCTGCGAAGACTGAACATTTTTCTGCACATGAACAAATCTACATTACTGATTCTTTACCGTTAAGCAACTCTAAACAAGGAACCACATGTATAGAATGTTTCCTAATTTACAGGAAGGATTATTTAGTGTTACGTCTATGCATGTCCTATACAAATAATGTTGGATAAAAACCTGGCATACAATGGATATGGGGTCTTTAACAAGGGGTCCGCGACCCCTAGGGGGTCCACAGAGGTACTGCATAGGGGTTGCAAAAGTTTTGGTTAATTAGTTTTTTTTTTTTTTTTTTATATATTCCTCCCTGCAATTTTTTTCCACTAATTGAAATGTCTTTAAATACACGTTAACATGAATTCAACACACTTCAGTAAGCAGATAAATGGAGACAGAAGATGTCTTTCAGTCATCAATGCACACATTCAGCGACACACAGGAGCTCTTTCAAGCTGGGCACAGTTTCATTCACAACACCTGTCCCATCAACCAGGAATCAAATTATTTTTGTTACATGACTCCAGCTGTAATAGAGTGACTATTGGACAAGTGTGATATAACACAATTTCATACTATATATATAATTAGTGGGTTCCTGCTCCATCTCGCCATCAGTTTGGGGGTCTTTGGCCAGAAAAAGGTTGAAGACCCTTGCCTAAGATGATAACCTGAAAGGCATCATGTAAACTTTATGGTAATTTAAGTTCCCATTTACAGCTCTGCACTTTTCCGGGCTTAAATTTCCAGTTTTCTGTAGGATTTATAAAACTGGATACACAGTCTAGAAATGCAAATAGATGTTGAGTAGAAATTTCTTCTTTATATATATATATATATATATACCGTATTTTCACGACCATAAGGCGCACCGTACTAAAAGGCGCAGTCTCAGTTATGTGTGCCATTTCTGTATTTAACACACACATAAGGCGCACCGGACTATAGGGCGCGTTTTTTATATACCGGTACACGTCCTCTACTACCTTTAAATAGCTCTACTGCGTATTTAAAAATAGAGCGGGAGCAAAACTGAGTATGATTGTGCTTTATTCATGTATTTATTACAAAGTATTAATCAAACCTGGGAGCTGGCCATGAGACAGACACATCGCAGATGACACAGCGCTGTGATTACTCCTAAATTAACTTAAAATCCTGAAACCTGCCGACGGAATATTTTCGCTTTTATTACCGGTATCCTGGTGCCTGCAGTTTAAATTATTTAGATGAAAAACACCTGCCAGCCACCGCGGTGAGGCTGCTGTTGAAGGGATTTCTACTGTCGGCGCACCGCTGGTATGTGGGGGTCTGAGCGGCTCCGACAGAAATAGTATAGGCACGATGATAATCTGGATGAACTGACTGCAATTATGAAGTTTTCAGGTGGACTTTCTCACTTAAAAACATATTAAAACTACTTTATTCCCACTGATCACAGCAAATATAGCTGCAAGATTTAGATTATTTAGATGAAAAAACACCTGCCAGTCGCCGCGGTGAACCCGGAGGAGACCCGGCCCAGAGGCTGCTGTTGAATTAAGTTTTCAGGTAGAAAAATAGAGCGGGAGCAAAACTGAGTATGATTGTGCTTTATTCATGTATTTATTACAAAGTATTAATCAAACCCATCAAAGTCATCATCCTCTGTTTCTGAATTAAACAGCTGCGCTAAATCAGACATGCCAATTTCCCCTTCTTCGCTGTCAGAGTCACTTTCTGTGCAGCGCGGCTCCTCACAAATAATGCCGGCTTTTTCGAAAGCTTGAACAACAGAGCCAGCAGACACGTTAGTCCAAGCATCAACAATCCATCCGCAAACTGTGGCGTAACTTGCCCGGCGCTGCCTTCCACTTTTCGTGAAACTGTGGTCTCCGTCGGTCATCCATCGCTCCCACGCCGCTCGCCGCTCGCAGCCTTATTTTGAACGGCCAGTTCACACCGATGTCGAGCGGTTGAAGTTCCTTTGTCAGACCTCCCGGATAACAGGAAGCACAGCGTTTATTTGTTTCACCATGTTTTTCACATCGGCTGTGAGATGGGCACGCATGGAGTCACAGATTAACAGCAATGGTGATGCGTGGAAAAAAACACCTGGTCTCCTCACATACACCTGCCTCAGCCACGCTTTCATCATCTCCTCATCCATCCAGCCCTTTTCATTTGCCTTAATATCATAGGTCATCAGAGCGATGTGTCTGTCTCGCTGTCAGATAAACGCTCACGACGCGCTGCGCCTGCTGCTCAAAATGCGTTGCGGGACCTTTTGCTGCGTCTATACGCGCGCCAACCATTGACTTTGCATGTAAACTCGCTGCTTCTGCTGCGCCTGCTGCGTCCGGTTCACACCGATGTCGAGCGGTTGAATAACAGCGAGCACAGCTTAATTTGTTTCACCATGTTTTTCACATCAGCTGTGAGATGGGCACGCACGGAGTCACAGAATAACAGCAATGGTGATGAGTGGAAAAAGACCACCTGGTCTCCTTACATTCACCTCCCTCAGCCACTCTTTCATCATCTCCTCAATGAGGTGGTCTCAAAAGTCCGCAGTTACAACACACATAGGGCGCACCGCACCAAAGGGCGCACCGCACATTTTGAGGGGAAAAAAAGACGTTTATGTGCGCCTTATAGTCGTGAAAATACGGTATATAAATGCTCAGAGGTGACAGCTATAAGTTGACTCCTCTCAGCCAGAAAGTGGAGCAGTTACTCTCGCTATTGTTCCATACTATTTGCTAGCCGGTTGGCAGGTAATGCTAATTTATTTTGTTTATACTGAGATAATTACTACATAGAAGAAGCCATTTCTTAGCTCTATCAAAGAGGTACGAGGACACACGTTACTTCAGCCTACCATTCCTGTTGGCGCAGAATCCAATGACATCGTAAAAGAAGTAAATATCCATTTATTTTGGACACGCCAAAGTTTATAGAATAATTCATAGATTTTTTGCAGTAAAATCAATATTTACTCTTTACTACTATATGTGTTTTGTTTGACTTATTTGTTTGTTTGTTTTTAATGGCCTTATGGTTAAAAAAAAAAAAAAAAAAAGTTAAAAAAGAATAAATACTTTCTAGAAAACTCCAGTTTTCCAGACAGCATCAGTGATCTGTATTTAAGCCATACCAGCAATGTAAGCATCAATAATTAAAAGAATCTGTCTGTGCAAATATCCCAAAACTTGATAGAAAATAAGTGGAAAAAGGCAAAAAACAAAATCCCCCAAAATTGTTAAAAACCTCAAGACCTGTTGGTGGAAAAGCTTAAGTGATCTAAATAAATTAGAGGTGTCTTCAAACCCCTCCAACATATAAACAAAACAAAACAAAAAACGTGCTACTTACCTGCTGATGAATGGCAGAGACAGAGCGCAGCTCATCTTATCCGACTCAGAGCCTGACAGCATCACATGGGTGAGAACGCCAGAACCAAAGCTAGACTCACACTGAACACGAAGATTATTCAGAAGATCATCACCTACAGAGCCAGCAAGACAGCGCAAAAAGCCCCGGTCCACTTTACTTCACTTTATCACAGATTTACAAGAAACTTATTTAATGTAAGAAATTATATTTATTTACAAAACCCTGAGTGAGTAGGAAAGCAAAATAAAATAAAATAAATCCTTTATAAGATTATTTCCACCAACTAACTACTAATTTTCTACCAGAAGAAAACCTGCAGACCTCTTCCTCTACTGAATCCGTGTTATAGAATAAATCATCTGATTTTCTTCTCAGTTCCAAACTGTTTCCCCCTATAGACAAAGCTGCAGCACATTTTTTCCCTCTATGGTTAATATTTTTCTATTCAATTAAAATACTTTTTCAAAATATCATCATATAAGTGTTCTTAATCAACTCTCTCTGAGTTTATACCAGGTTGCTCAATCAATCTGTTGCAGTCAGTTTAAATTAGATTCCTGCTTTTCTGAAACTATAAGCATTGTTTTAATAAAACACAATCTGTGTTCTTCTTACCAAGCTGCTTAACTTTAGCTTTCACTCGATCCGTCTGCCTTCGTCGTTTCTCTGACCTGTCTTCACCCAAACAGAGATGGTGGCGTATCAATGCCACAGAACCGGTTCGAACCAGCGCCTGTAAACAGCTTGGGTTGCAGCTCAAGCGGCAAAGCATGCGGAAGCACCTGCTGCTGGGGTCCTGGTGCTGGGTGATGTAGCAGAGCAAGCCAGACATGACCACAGCGCTCACCAGAGCGCTGCTGGGGTCACTGGCGTGGGAAAAACGCGACAGCAGCAGGAGGATGGGAGACTCTTGCGTCCAGGGTTCAGGGTGATAGGGGTGCTGATAGGTGCTGGTTCGGGGGACAGTAGGAGGGCTATCAATTGCAAACTTGGTGAGTGAAGTTGCTGAATGCATCCTTCTTCTTTTCTGTGAAGATGAGAGCTTTGATGGGGAAATAGGTGTTTGAGACGTATTAGTGGGAGAGCAGACGGAGGGGGAAGCAGTTGGGTTTGGAGGGGTGATCCCAGTAGAAGGGGAAGGATCGGTGATGCTCGAGGAGGAGGACAAGGAGGGAAGTGGAGACAGAGGTGGAGCTGTTTTATTAGAGCTGGATGAAGAAGGGGCTTTGGGTGATTGGCTGGAGTCTGGGTTTGGGGAAGAGGTTTGAGGTGAAGAGGAAGGGGGGTTAAGGGTCCCCCATTCAGCATCAGCAGTGGAGGAATCCAGCAGTTCCCCTTCAGATGATATCAGTCCCTCAGAAAGCAACCAGGATCTGCAGAGAGAGAGAACACTACATCTAAACAACATAGAATATAGATAATCACCTAAGATGAGACTGTACCATCATTTCTCCCCATACCTGAGACTTAGGAAGCTGGAGGAACCTTGCTCCCTCCCAGCTTCTTCCCTCCTGCATACCTCAGCAGGAGGATAGTCAAATGACTCCAAAAAAGAAGAGGACAGGAGCTCATTGTGAGGCATGTTAGAGGAGCTGCTCACATCCACCTTCTCCAGCAAATCTTCTTCTCCCCTGGTGAGCTTCACTAGTAGTGCAACAAGAACAGGGACCAAGCCCAGCTCTGCCAGCTGTTCCATGGCAGATTCATCAAAAACAAAGTCTACACAGGCCAGTATGATGAACTTGGAGAGTGGATGATTCTGGTGAGAGGACAAAAAATTCATCAGGACCTCCAAACCACCAGACTCCTTTACCTTGGCACGGTTCACCGCTTCTTTGCAGCACCAGCACAGAGCCTTGAGGAAGACTCCTGACTTCAGCGGGTCCTTTTTAATCTCCTCTGTGAACTTCTGAATGACCCCTAGAGATCCTACAAAGGGCCGCAGGCAGCCTTGAGAGCACATGTTAGCCAGCGTTTTCAGCGCAAGCTCTTCAAATTGTTCACCCCCTGATGCCATGACCCCGAGCTGAGTCAAAACACCAGAACGGGAGACCTCCCTGGCACATTCAATTCCACAGCCTTTGGTGAGCTCATTGAGGGTCCTAAGGGCTGCATGCCTCAGACCACTGGGATATTCGGGGGCAATAAGAGGTGCAAGGGCAGATAATGTCCCTTGGGTGAGCAGAGAGAGGCGGTTTGAGGGTGAGTCTGAGAGGTAGAGGAGGGCCCGAGCAGCGGACTGAGCGCATTCAAGTTTGGGACAGGAGTTGGAGGATGGAGCAGCTGTGGGAGATGATGGGGCCGACGCGGACACGGACACACAGAGGAGGAGGAGAGGAATACCACCTGGGCACAAAAAAACATAACAAAAACAATGGATGGTTTCACAAAATAAGAGATTGATCAAATTCAACAAAACAAAAAAAATGAATATCAAAGAGGACATAAAAGATATCAGTGACTGAAAAAAATAATTTCATTGGATTCCATTAAACAGATCAGCTAAGCAGGAGTGCATAAATGGTTATAAAAACTTAACTGGGACAGCATAAAATGTCAATATGATATAATCTAAACAAGTTTATTTGAAGTCTGGCTGTTTATTATTTAGGTTTGTTGAAGGCACATCTACAACTCTAGATTTTTTTTTCTTTCAGGATTGTCATGCATTTAGCTTCACCCACTCTGCCCAGCGCAGCGTATCTGATCCTGCTGAAGAAAAGCATTTGCACCTGATGATGCCTTTCCCATCTTGTTTTAACTGCAGACTGTGTGTCAAACCCTAGGTGTAGTCTTATATTTCCACCAAGTGTTTTGCATGAACATCAAAAAGACACATTGTTCCATGTGCCTCCAATATTCCTTACATGCTTATTAAAAAGTACAGAAAGCACTTCCTGTAGCTTTTTTCAACAGTGGCTTTCTTCTATAAAATATATTTAATTAGTAGCTGGATTCTGTCACCAGATATGCCAACATCTGCTGTAGTCTCTCCTGTGTTCCCACAGGCCTCTTGGCAGCCTCTAAATGCATCATCATTGTGACACAGGAGAGGGCAATTTTCCATGCCACACATAAACTCAGCATTGCACATCTAAGAGGTACAGTAAACAAAGCAAATATGTCCAATATGGCTCCACAATACAAATTGTGATGCAGTTTACGTTTGCAGTAATGTGCTACAGGAATAATTTTTTATCTTGGAAGGTTAAGAGAAATTTCTTTCAAGGATGAAGACTACAATTTGTTGACAGCGTTTTTTGTCCTCCTGATGTAGCTCAGGGCTAGGTTTTTACCGTGACCAACTGTATGTGATCTCTCTTTTTCTCTTTTTGATATGAAAACCAGCTTGGAGCTCATCTGCTCAACTGTTTCTGTCCTTGACAGAGCCACCTTTGGAAATAGTTTACCATTATCTTCTTTTACTCGCTTCTATTTTGCTTTTGTTTGCTTTTGTCTCCTTGAACGCCAAATCAACTTGGCAGAGGGTTGCTCACTTAGTCTGGTTCTGCTCGAGGTTTCTTCTTGTTAAAAGGGAGTTTTGTCTTTCCACTGGGGCTGCATGCATACTGCTTGTGAGGGATAACTGAAAAGTCAGCAACACAAAGCAAAGCAAATATCTACTGTCGTCACAAGATCATCCAGTGGGAATGAATTCTGCCAAGTTAGCACTCAATGTAATCAGGCAACTTTCTTATATAGGAAACTTCTAACAATTCTGTATGTATGATTTGCTTAAAGTGTCTTTGTAAATTGCATTGAGATGACATGCATTGTGAATTGGTGCTATATAAATAAACTGAATTTAATGTAGTTTTACACCCTTGCTTCCAATAGTACACCATCTAACATTTTGGGCACCACCATCCAACAAGCTGCATATGACTTTGGGGAAGCGAACACTTAAAATAAAATAATCAAATCAATCATAAAATAATCAAATAATCAAATTTTGATTGTATTCCAACTAGTCAATTATAACAAAATTTAAATTCTAACAATTAATTTTAAGCGTCAACACAACATCAATCAATCAGGAAACCTAACCATTTATGGTTTAACTTAGAATTCACAATCAGTCATTGATTTGTGTAATTTTATCAAAACCCATTTGGGTATAAATACATTTTCAGTGCATTTTAAAGTTAAATACGCCCTTTTATTATTACAGTCTTAAAAGCTACAGAGAGGCAGACACATATATAATTACCAGCAGAGTGGATGAGTGCAGAACTTTCTTGATCCATGGCCAAGTTCCCTAAAGCTCGGGCAGCCCGGTTCTGGACCGTCTCTAAAGCAACGTTTCTCTTCATTATGTCCACTATAAAGGTCAACAATAAGAAGATTATAATCATTAAAAAACAATGACAGTGTTGAATTTTGCAGAATGTATAGTGGTAAAAGGTGCAAACAAAAACAAATATTAAATAGAATTTACTGACCAACAATGTTGATCCCTTCTAGTTTCCGGACCTAAAGTTGAAAACATATATTTAGAAAGTGCTTCAAAACCAAAAAAGGGAATTCAGACCAAATGATTGGACAGCCTTGTCAGTATGATCTCACTTCTAAGCGTGTCTCCTGCTCAGTGCAGCAGTTGGCCAGGATGCTTAGAGCCAGGTCCAGGATTTTCCTGGGGCATTCAGGGTGTTTAAGGAGTTTCAGCAGGAGTTTGAGTCCACCTTTTCCTCTGAATCTAGCGATGCCAGCCTTGTCGCCCTTGATATGCTGTGTCCTGATGGCAACCAGGGCTCTCCACTGATACAGTTTTGACCTCTTGTCGGTGTCTTTGGATGAACCTGTCTGGTGCTCTGCCCCTACTGGTAGTCCAGGTTTGCAGAGGTGGTCCAAGCACCAGGTCAGTGAGGACTCTGGGGAAGGTGGTTGGCCTTCTTTTGGGCTCACTCTCTGCTGCTTTCCTTCACCCTTCACTGGTGATGAGGCCATAATTGATCAAACTAGCAGGCCACGCACCCAATTATTGCATCTTTACCATTCTATGCTCAGGTAGATATCACCGCAGAGCATCACTGGACAGCGCCTGCAATGTGATAAACAAAACATAGCATTTTTCTTTACTTTTTACTGTTAGCGTGTTTCCAAGCAATTATCAACAATCCTCAACAAACTTCTCGTTTAAACGAAAAGTTTTGACGTGTTGTGAACAAACTACAAGTACCAAAAAGACAAGGGAAACGTGTATCACCTGACGCCGCAATCCCTGACGGGAAATTGAGTCCCTAACCGCCGCCACGATCCGTCAAAAAGGCCTGCTGTTTGAAGAGGCCTCGATTGCGTTATTCGACGTAAGATGCGTGTAACTGGCCTATTTTATTTTTTATTGTCAATAGATTTGTAAGAAGTAACTATTTTAGCAATGCTACATTGCCAGAGGCCGAATATATTTTGTGGAAAAAAAGTGCAATCGCCTGCATTAGCCGCTAACGCCATCTTTAGCCAAACTATAATACGGGGGCGACTTCCGGAGACAAGCAGGGACCGAAGAGCTGGAGCTTGGGCAAAATTCTGGGACTTGTAGTTTCACCTCTAATTCAATTCTCCTGTTTTCAACATGCGCTGTCTTTTCAAAAACTACATTACCAATCGCGATACTAATCGTCAGCTCGACTGAAACAACCAAACCCGTTTAGGGATTGTAGTTTCGCTAAGGACTTCTTTAAGGTTTGAAATGGTAATAAAAGACTACAAGTATTAAATTTCAAATGAAAGCGATAGGCGTTCATTTTCTTGACGCACGAACATCCATCGATGTATCATGGATGTTGTTAAATTCCGCGATAGATGCCGTTGATGAATAAAAACAACAGTTTTAATAAAGGAAGTAACATAAAAATATGGAGGTAATTGAGGCAATAGTGATTCATGACGCTGATGCTGAAGGAAAAAAACCTGCACCGTCCAGCAGCGTGGATACTGATAAGACCAAAACAGGTTAGTAATGGAGAGTTTGAAGTTCATGTTTGGTCCAGTCATCGCTTGATGCGAGGAGAGACTGATGAGTGCGCACCAACATCCACTATTTCAAATATTACAGGATCAATATGCTCTGAATATGTTGAAAGGCTGCGATCCCAAAGAATGGTTTTATAATAGACTGTCCAAAACAAACTAGAGATAAGACTTTAATGTAAATGTGCACGTTTATTTATATGAATGTTTGTATATATATATATATATATATATATGTATATGCGTATATAGATATACATACACACATATATGTATGTGTATGTATGTATATATATATATATATATATATATAGATAGATATACATTTTTTAAATGTAATCTATATTAGTTTATATAAAAAATACCTTTGGAATCCAAAAATTGCCCAAAATTATGTCAATGTAATAAAAATAAATTCATGAAAAACAGTCTGAGAGTGAAAGAAACACATTTTTTTTTTTTTTTTGGTGCAAGGTGATTGTTTATAAACCTAAATATGATTTTTAAATAGGCTTATTACATTTTTAACTGTTCAATTAGCCTTTTACCTTATTTTCTTGACTTGTTCACTTTTTTTTTCAACTTCATTTACAGTAGGTAATATATTATTCAAGGGCTAATCTAATTGGTCAAATGCCAAAGTAAGATGTACAGCCATGTAGCAATATCTTTGCTGAATGGCTGGATATAGATCTTGTGCTTCTAGACCTCCCTGAGGGACGACTCCATTTGTAAGGGGTATGCAAGGGATCAAAAACAGTAACTCCCTATGAAGGTTTAAATATAAATTCTCCTGTCTTTTTCTTTCTGTAGAATTCATCTGGACACTACAAGCTACATGGCATCTAGTCAATACCAGACTGGAAATGGATCAGGCTTTTGACCAGCCAGTGTGCAAGAAAAAGAAGCTTTGGGAAGTGGTTGCAGAGAAGGTGAATGCTAAACTGAAGCGGTCGGGGATCACAGACATCACCGTGAAGGCCTACGAATGTGATCTAAAATGGAGAAATATGCTGGCCACGTACAGGAAGAACACAGACAGGGCCAGGCGACTGGGGGTAGCTAGTGTCCACTGGGAGTTCTTTAAAGCAATGCATGGGGTGCTGGGTAAGAGCAGGGAGGAGATCCAGGCCCAGCGCCAGGCCAAGCTCAGTGGAACCAAAGTTGGAAAGGCCATAGCCAGCAAGAGGTTCACACCTATCCTTCCTACCCCTCCTGCGACACCTGCTGCCTGTATTAGCAGGCCCCCACAGGACATCCTGCAGCTCTACATGGAGCTTCAGGAGAGGAAGCTGAACATGTGGGCTCAGCAGAGAGCACTGGAGGAGAGGAAAATAGAGGCCATTAATAACCTGGCTCAGGCTATCTCCAGTCTGGCTCAAATGAACAGCCCACAAACACCAAAAGATGGACATTAAGTCTTTACACAACTTAAATAATAAATGGATGTTGTCATCTGAACCGTAACTTTATGGCATTATAGTTTGTAGGCATGCAGCAAACCAACAGAATCCATCTTGAGAATGTTATGTTTGATAGCTTTTTCTTATAAAAAACTGAATACAGCTGCCTTTATGCTTTGTCTGGATACTTTCACTTCCTGTTTAGTACGGGGGGGGGGGTTCTCCTGCAATTGCCTAAAAACAAAGTTACAAGCCATCTGCTTTTTGGTTTTTTATTGACTCATTTATTTTTCTACTTTAATGTTATTGCTAACTTTCTTAGCATCAATATATATATTAATAAAAATCCTAAATATAAGGCAAAGTTACCAAAATCATTTGTGCTCCAAAGAATGAGTAAACATAATCTAAATGCATATCAACTAGATACTAGATACTGCTAAAACTGTGACAAGTAAAGTTGCCAGTTGCAGTGGTCTTCAAAATCCACCAAATGAGCTGAGTTGAACTTGATGTTTTTTAAAGAGCCCACCACCTGAGTCTGAGTAGCAGGTATAGACTGTATGGGTTTCTGTGAGCAGCTTACAATAGGATCACTGGTGTGGTCTACATCTGGCAACAGGAGACTACAACATCTGTGGATCAGGGTTCAGACACAGTGCAAATATTTTAACAAGACACAGACAGACGGATGTATGGATGGAATAAAATGGGCCGACAGATTGATGGTTGGTCTGAAGGTTACAGCTTATAAAAAATTTGAGAAAAAAATAAAAAATCTTAAAATTAAAGTATTTTCCAGGTTTTACCAGACCAGCAAAATATTTAGATCAAATCTCTTTCCATACTGCCCTGGTTGGAACCCAGTTAGAACATGTGACATCTGGCTAATCTACAAGCTAAACAGTACTTCACCACCCAAAAGTACTCCCCATGACACCTTAATCCCTCATAAAGCGATCCTACACAGAGCAACAGCTGTGCTCCAGCTACATGCCATCACATGATTCGGTCTAACTTTGTTAAAAAAAAAAAAAAAACGGCCTACAAATGCAGGTTTTCTTGACCCCTTGTTGTTTTTTATTTCTTGTCAATATGGGTCAGTAAGGAAAAGTAAACACTTTAAAGAGGTTTTTTTATATTTAGGTTCCTGGATGTCTGAGAGCATTCACCAGCCTACTGTAAGATATTGTCTTAAATACATTTATTTTTGTTTTTTCACACTTAGTGACATTATATTTAAAAAAAAAAACTATAAAAATATTTTTGGCTTACTATTTATTATATTTAAAGGTGAAAGAAAATCAGAGTTGCGCAGTGGGGAGCACTTCTGCCTTGCAGAAAGAAGGTTCTGGGTTCAAAAACACTGCCAAGCGTCCTTCTGCATGGAGTTTGCATGTTCTCCCTGCGCGTGAGTGGATTCTCACCGGCTTCCTCCCACAGTCCGAAATCATGATTGTGTGCATGAATGGTTGTTTGTCTCTGTGTTTCCCTGCGATGGACTGGTGACCTGTCCAGGTTGTACCCCGCCTCCCACCCCTTGACAGCAGGAGATAGGCACCAGCACCCCTCGGACCCCAGCAGGGATAAGTGTGAAACATAATGGATGGAAGAAAATCAATACTGTACTTGATTTTTTTTTTTTCTCTTTTGTATTGATCCTCCTTTTATTGGAATGCTTCCAAACAATCTGTTGTAGAAAGATGTATAAATGTTGATTTTCTGATAAGGCCAGGTAGGTTTGTAGGAGATTATTCATAATCAAAACTATGATAAAGACTGAGGAATCCAGCAGACAGATCAGGAAGAAAATTGAGAAGTTTTACACTGGGTTAGAAGATAAAACATCAAAACAGTAGTTCTGTGATTGCAATGTGACAAAAAGAGAAAGTTCAGGAGTTATTAAAGCACTAAATTCCCCATGGTATGAGTAAATTCTCATTAAGTTTGTTCACGTTTCAAACATATTTGTTTTTCCTGAACCAGTTCCCCAAATTTCTCAAATTTCAAAATATGGATAGATGGATATAAATGAAGATTAACAAACAATAGGATGGTAGGACTTTAACAAGCAGGAAAGGAAGTAGTGAGGACAATATGGCAGGGAGGAGGGAACAAGCAAGAGAGGATGGACCACCACCCCCACCCCCTAAAAAAGGGAATTAACATTAAGATATGATAGAACAGAGGTCTTGAATTCCAGAATCCTGCAGCATTTAGATGTGTCTCTACTTCCTCACCTTAATCAAAAAGCTGAATGAACTCCTCAGTCGTCCAGATTCCTGATATTGACAGCTGTAATGAAGCAGATATCTAAAATCGCCTGGCTATTTCAAACCTGAAGGAAAATTCTGGAAAAATTTAATATATTTTTTTATATTCTTGTTTTCTGGCTCTACATTCATCCAAAGCTAGATAATGTCTGAAGTTTCTAGACAACACAGGGTTCCTGCGTTGTCTAGAACCCCAGTGTTAATTTAGACTAGATGAGACAACTGACGCTCTAACAAAATAAATCTTTATTACCTCATGTTTTTATCAATGTAAATATCACGCGCCCCCAGAATGAGCATTCATCAGCAGCAATTCTGCAACTTCATTGCGTCTCTGTACTCCCTCCTCATCTTCCTCCCCGACCTCCTTTTGTGCAGTTAGAAGATTCGCTGTCTCAGACTCTCCTTCAACCTCATGTCCCATCTGTAAGAACACATTGTGTAATACACATGCAGTCAGAACAACAGTCCCGGCTCGGTCGTAGTTTCCGATGTCCAGATAGGTGAGCCGTTTGAATCTGGCCTTCAGGCTGCTGACTGCCTGATCGAGAATCCGACAGTGTTCCTCCAAGGTTTGGTTAAAGAGTTCCTGTTTTGGTCCTTTTTCTCCCGTGTAAGGGGTTAGAATCTGTGCTGTTAGAGGGAATCCGGCTCTGGCTACAAGACAGGAGCCCAGCGGCATCAGTTCAGGGTTCTGTTTGAGTCGGTCACTCAGTGTCCTGCCTCGATCTACATCTGAGCTTTTGCTGACTCTGCAGTGCAGGAACTGGCCTCTGTGGCTGCACACAAGCTCCAAATTTAACCAGGAGTCGGATTGGCCCTCCTTCATTCTCTTTTCCGCCGGTCCAACCCTCTCCGGGTCATGTTTTTCTACGGGCAAACGTATAGGAATCCGTGTGTGTCCCAATACTCCTAGAACATGAGGGAGACCATGTCCTTCATCTTGCTCTTTTATTTCAACCAGACTTGAAAATGGGAAAAGTGCCTCAGCAGCCTCTTCTCCTGGAAACAACAAACACACCCCACTAATGAATAAAATATTTAAAGCATACATAAAACACTTAAAATACAAAGACAAGCGCTGAGGGATTATACCAAGTGGCCATCTGATTTGCTCCTCCTTGAGCGAGCTGATTCTCTCGCAGAACGAGAAGAAGATCCTGTGGATGTTTCCCTTCTCCAGCTGGAAGCGGCGGGACACGGAGCGGTAGCTGACCCGTTCGGAGAGCAGGGACAGAGACAGGAGAACCGTGTGAGGTAAAGACAAGTGAGCCCGTCCAGCCAATCGATCCCTGGATTTGGAGCGTTGAAGCAGCTCTGAGATGCACTGAGAAGACAATAAATCTTATGGTTAGTTATTTAGTGGACTAGATCGTCTCATAAAGAATATCCTCAATAACCTAGATGAGATTAGTATTTTATTAATGCTGTTAAACAATGGGCAACTATGTGCTAACTAATAGGGGCACGTCCTACATCGCTTGTCTTTAGGCCCCACCCATGTCGTGTTACCAGCACACAAAACCCTTTGAGTTCAATTAAAAACCAGAAGTTTGAGAGTTGTAACCAGAGATTTCTGACAGGCGCAAATAAATCTTCGTAAGAAAAAGTTTTCCATTTGACTAAAAAAAAGAGAAAATTAAACAAAACCTTTTTTTTTTTTTTTCAAAATTTAATGCATTTATAGGTATTCCATATGTTTTGAGCACAGTTTTCTTATTTTTTATATAGATTCGTTTTTGTTTCATTGAATAATATTGAGACTCATTTATCTCCATAGTTTCTTATTTATGTGCAGAATGGAATTTTACTCAAGAGGTTCAAATTAAAACTAATTATATATATTTAGTTTTATATTTTTTTGTATTATATATATATATATATATATATATATATATATATATATATCCCCATTTGTCATCCATCTGAGACCCACAAACACAGCTCCAATATACACCCATCTTCAAATAACCTCAATGCGAACACAGATTAATCTAAGTAGTGATAAAGCATCTCTACACAGCACACATTATATATAACACTAGCATACCCACAGCATGATGCTACCACCTCCATGCTTTGGAACCTCAGGAAACAAAAATCTTATGATTTTCACTGAAGAGTCGTGGCTTGTCTGTGTGTTGGGTAGTAAGTTACAGCAATACTGTCGTATCTAAAAGCCTCCTGGAGGAACATGTGATGATCACCTGGACTGCTTCACTGTCCGCTGTCTCCTGCTGGTCCTCTGTCGTCCTTCCTTCCTCGGTGAGACCACTAAACGCAGCCGCTGTGGGTGAAACCTGAGGGGCAGGGCTTGCTTTACTCTGCAGTAACTGAATGTAAACAGCGGGAGAGGGCTGCGTTTCGATTTTCCCAACCAGCTCGGACTCCAGGATCTCCTCCATCGCTTGGTCTAGCCGAAAGTCCAGCTCCCCGGCGGACAGAGGCTGCCATTCTCTCTCCATCATGTCCAGGACGGCTTTGCCCGCGGATAACACATGCTGCCCGAAGTCCATCTGAACAGCCCAATGAAACACATCGAGCAGCGAAGGAGCAACTCAGCGACCCGTTATGGAGCGGGACAATGCTAGCCTGCTAGCCACTGGGCTATTGTTTGATGCCTTCAAGGACTGTCAGGAAATTCTAAAGAGCCTTTGTGGCGTTTAGTGTGCGGAAGAGGAATAGGGCCACTGAAAAAAAAGATAACTAATTTCTAAATTTTATCTGAGCATAATATTAGAAAAAAAGTCAGAATTCTGACTTTTTTCTCAGAATTGTGAGGGGAAAAAGTCTGAATTCGGAGATTAAAATTAAATTTCTGAAAAAAAGTCAGAATTCTGACTTTTTTCCCATATTAAACTGAAATATTTAAACATCAGTTGACTTTTTTTTTTCCTGTGGCCCTAATCCTCTTCTGTATTAGTGAGACATAGGAACTAGAGTATTACAAACAAAATGTAACCACCCGCGCAAGGATGAAACAAACTCAGTCCTAAAAATATACGTTCTTTATTAAACAAATAGACAGAAAATCCTTTACCTCTCCTTCTACGAAACTGATAGCCTAGGGTAGACAATATAATATTTAAACTCTGACGTTAGTGGATGGCGGACAAACCCGCATAACCAGAACCAGAAAAGTCGCGCACGTATAAGGCTTCACAGCAATCAGGTGAAAAAAACACTACACACGATCAGCACTCGGCACTGCAGACGATCAGATGCAATATAACATTGTCTACCAGCTCACAGCCTCGTGGGAGAGTGAACAAGGAGAAAACAAACAGATCAATGAAAAAAGATTAAAAAAAAACAAAACAGTTAGTCCGCCCTCACAAGTAAACAACGGGACCAAAGACATCAAACAGGGTCGGACTAACTAAAAGAAACAAAACATAAACCTAAGGACAGCAGGAGCAACAAAAAAACATCTCTGTAAACAAACAGAAAACACCAAATTACAAAAATAATACAATCAAAATATTATTTTAATAACTACCTTAAAATCTCAAAAAATACCTGTATCGCGTACACCACCCTCATCTGCCTGTATACACAGCCTGGTCTAAAAAACCTGCAGGGCCTCCTAACAAGGAAAAGAATGATTAAAATTTACATTCGTCATAATAAAAGTTCAATATAAGCACACTCTAAAAACACTCACCCACATTCTTGACAAATCTACGTGTGGAACCCAGATACGTCCTGGCGTCCCATGGAAACTGACACCTTTTAAGAAAGTTAAAGTAAACTATTTGATGTTAAGAAATTAATAAACATAGGAACTAGAGTATTAAAGAATTCATGAACTAAGAAACAGAAATTTAGCAATGTTGGTACTTAAATGATGAATGATAGATTTATGCAAACCTTCAGCACAGAGCAAACAAAACACAATTTTTCATAATAAACCAATACTGAGATCAAAATTACATTAGAATAATAAAACAGCCATGTATTAAAATAAATAAAAAATCATACATTGAGGTAAAAATATGCTTTTGAAGAACTAACTTTCTGTTTCTTTACAATATTTATATTCCTCCTAAACTAATGACTAATTTTGTCTTCATTGCTTTTTATATTTCAACTATGGTAAAAGTGTTATTAGCAACGTGCTACATGACTTAGAGCCGACATGACAAAATATATACAAAAAAAGGTTGCCATCTCATAAGGTGTCACAGACCAGGGAGAAATGAAAGGTTTGAGAAACAGAAGTTTGTTTTTCCTCAAGATGGATCATAAACAATGAATTTATGAATTCCAGTTTTTTCTCGAAGCCTTGTTCCCTTCAAGATAAAAAGATTTAACCTTTTAGCTCTAACAGAAAAAATCCAAATGACTACCTTCTCCAGGCTAAACTTAATCTATATCAACTTGTCTGTCTCTTAATATGTAATGTTTTGATAAAAAGTTTTTGAAGGCCCATAGTGAGCATCCTTCAGTTTTCCCCCCTAATCTTCCATGAAAATCAAAATACCATAACACAGAAGTCAAAAACATTTTTCTTTTTAATTTTAGATCAGTTACAAGTGCAACTCTGCTTATGTCCACCTATTTAACAACCATGATTTTGCAAAAACATGCCAACACAAAGCGTTAACTGTTCCATTCCACTCCTCCAGGGTCAGATTACTCTTTCCTTTGAGGTAAAAAAACAAAACATAACACTATCAGTTTAAATTTTCTTTGATCAAGAGTTACATGTTAATGTAAGGTTTGGATGAGCAAACATGCCTCTAAATTTAGGAGAAACTAACAGAAGCTGCAGCTAAAGGTAAACCTTGTGGAGTGGTTTTATTCCCCTTATTTTATTCTCCTCCAAAAATTTGTTGGACTACAACCCAATGTAATTAAAAAAATTTCAGATCCTCTCATCCATATATAAGTTTAACTTCAGCATATACCGCAGATAATATTAACTGGTCATAGAGTAATAAAAACCAGTGGATCTCTCTTTATTTTAGAGTATTGTTCAGAAGTTTTAAAATACAAACGGTAACTTAAAAATGCATACAATCCCATATATGTTTGCAACACATATCCAGGCAAAAGACAAAAACAAAACATCCTACTTAGTTTAATAAAGAAACACGCAAACACAAAAAGCTAAAAAAAAAAAAAAAAGCACACTGTCAATCAATCTTCTTAAGCCAGCAAAACAAAGACCAAAAGCAAGGCAACATTGACCTTACTCCAAATAGAGACTAAAATTTTATTAAATAAGAGGTACGTCTCTTGGCTTCAGCCGTGGCTAAATGCACATATGGCTGACAGTGTAATGACAGGTTTTCTCTGCAGGGTATCTTGTGAAACAAATAATTTTCTAGCATGCCCTCATTAAGTCAAGACAAATAAACCATTTTAAAGCCCCCTCAAATTTAAGGGGGAGCCTCCAGTTATTCGTGCCTTGATTCTGAATAGTTGTCAGCATAGGAAAATGTCACCGAGGCATCAATTCTCAAATTTTCACCCTGCCCTGTTCCCCTATGCCCTCCCTTCGAACCCTTTCAGCTGACTTCTTGTTTTATGGCTCAGTCCTTCACTGTACTGCCTGTTCGTTGGCTGTGCTTCCAGTATCCTGAGGCTTCATGACATCAGGAAGTTCTGGGGGAGTGGAGAAGGACTCAACCCTCAGTGGCTCAAATGAATCATCTGGGAGAGGAACAAAGAACAAAGAGCAAAGACACAAGGATTAGTGTCATCGGACGAGCCCATAGAGTCTGTGCTCGGAAATGAACAAATATTGTTCCAGTTTAGAGAAAGAGAACGACTCACCACCGATACGAAAAGCTAATCCCACTGTGGCTGGAGCCTGAGGTCTGGCTGTTTGATTTGTGAAGCCACAATTCCCCAGAGTCTGACTGTCATTGAGCAGCACATCATCCTGAAACGGGAAAAGAAAAAAAACTTTACATTCTCTAATGAACCAATCCAGAAAAATACAACTATAGAAATTGTCAGAGGGGTAGATTTTCTAATAAATAAAAATGGTCAAAGATTTTTTTTTTTATTAAAACATCAATTATAGAAAGTTTATTGGAAAATGTAAGCATAAATCAATGCCAGAGGTCCATCCTTCGACAATTTTAAAAGAGACAGTGTTTAAGCGAAGCTGTTGGGTTTCCTCAAGCTGAGGGTAAAAACATTTAAATATTTCCAATGTTCAGATACCAAAAAGCATCTGCAGGCTTTCTGGTTAAGGTTTATACCTTCTTTCAAGTTAATAATATCAAACTATTCTGGAGATATCTGCTTTTGTAATTGATGGGTTTTTGGGGGGTTGATTTTGCATACATTTTTACATCATGGCAGAAAAAATAAATAAATAAATCACTGACTATTCGGATCTATAACCGATCAACATATAAATAATTTCATTTTTTTCAGAATTGTATTTTAACTTTGTCTTATTGTTAAAAAATAGGGAGAGATAAAAAAAGTAATGCATCATTATAAAGACCCTGAACATAAGTAAAATATATTGGTCTCTCTATCAAACATTTATTCATTCTTAGAAATGTTCAGTAGAGAGAATAAAAGTTGTATACTTCTGTATGAATAAATGTTTGATAGGAAAGTATAAAACCCTTTAGTATGCCATTTAAGCTGAAGTCACATTTATGGCTTACTACATAAATGTATATATTTACTTTCAGGGGAAAGTAAATGCAAAATTAAATCACTGTTAAATCTGAAATTGTTTAAACACCTGCAGAACAAGATTAAAAGTGGTTGCCATTTAACCAAGAGGTCTGTTTGTAAAAAGAAATGACACGAAAGAGAACAATAAAAGAGGTTATTAATGTTTGTGTGAGTGATTGTATTTACATATTAAAAAATGGCTCATTGACAATTGTACCTCTTTTAGGGATCAATTAAATTCTAATTGGCTTTAAAAACAAAAACAAAGCCTTTTTATAATTTCCAGGGGTTTTTTTGTTTTGATTTTTAATGTACATTTGATAAGGAGTTCCAGAGCTCCCATGTCAGTTAAATTGCCATAATCTTAATCTTGAGCTCCCATTATGATCCTCAGTCTGATTCTATTCAGGACTCTAGCTGCGTCGTTTCAAATTTATGTATACAACCTCCAGTGTGACAAAACATTATAGTAAAAATGTAAGATTTCAAACCCTATTTTGCCAAAGGGAGGGGGTGAATAATTTTGGGCTTACTATTTTATTGTATCTCACATAAACAGATGTGAAAATGTAAATCTCATGAAGAATATTTTACCTTGTAGAGCCTTTGATCTTCAGGCGGCCGCTTTAAAATGCCTTCAACAATGCGCTTTAGTTCGTAGACTGTAGTAGATTCTTTCGCATCCGTAAAGATAGTCGTCTTGTGACGTCGGATCATTAAAAACACATCCTAAAAAAGAAAAATAAAGCAGAAAAGGGACAGCAGAGATTTTGATATGAAAGAAAATGACCGTTTATCCTGCTGTGATTTAGCTTAGAGGTCAAGATTTCACCACAATATTGAACTTTTAAAATCCGAAAAATTGGAAAGAGTTAAATTCAATTAATAAATTAACTTCAAAAACAAACAGGAACATGCATCTATATTTCTTACTGCTAGACAAAGCTGTACATCAAATGGAGAATAAAGACAAATATTTG